TTTGTGCGGATCTTACCTCAGCTCAGGTACTTTTCTGAACAGGTTCCTATTGCTAATAATAAGGAGAGAGAACAGTGTGTTTCCTTATTTCAGATCGCTTCCCGTGAATTTCTCTAAGGAAGGTCAGAGAGCAAAGGAAGGAAAAGCACTTAATTTTATGCACACTGCCGCTGTGGAAAACTTCCGAGAAAGGAACAGAAAATGAAAGTTATCAACATTATCAACACTTGCTGCAAATTCTAGCCAGATGAGTTTACTATGGTGTGATATTTTCCAGAAAAATCGATCGACTGAAACGGCTTTGGAATAACTCACAAAATCTCAAAATCACACCCCCATGAGGTAAGACACAAAAATTAACTATTTCCGATTTTTCTGCATTAGCGTTTCAACATTCAGTCACCGCATGAACGCTCCGCAAGATTTTCTCAATCACAGCCCACGGAAAGGTCTGTTTTCGTAGTTTAATGGGAGTAATCGTCTATCTTTTGCCTGTAAGACTCTTGAATTAATAATCTACGCAGGTTTCTCTTCTCTGTTCGTTTTTAAATGGCAAGGAAATTCACTGTAAGTAAATTCAAATGAGTGTGAAAGAATTGTTATAGTTAAAATGTTTGTTCCCTTTAATGGTGCCTGAAAATCTTTTCTTTCTTCCGCCGTAAAACTGACTTCTAATCAGGCAATTTCGCTGAACTCGAGAGAACCATTGCAGATTCCATTCGCTAAATTTCTTTAGATTCTACAACGCAATTTATGGACTGAGATCAAAGCTATGACCAGTAGTAGAACTAGAGAAAAAGTTAAGAGAAGAACAGAGCGAAACTGGTTAAAAAGGAACTCAAAATTAGATGACCTTTCGAATGAATTACTTTTTTAATGATTAAAAAGAATAAGGCATTCTTCCCTTACAAGCTGTTACGTTTGCGTGCTGTCAACTTGCCTATTAAGCGCGCGAGAGGAAACTGAAACAAAACCTGCAGGAAATTGTCTTCGATAAGAGGTAAGGCCCTTGGATTTAACAAAACTCGCAGGAAACTCATCAGTCTCAACAGCAAGAGGCAAAAACAACTTGTGATAGTCGGTTATTGCAACAACACGCTCTACTACTTGTTGTTTAAGTAATAGCAATAGTGATATTCCCGTCGTTGTGTAGTCATTCGAGTGATTAGCGATTTGGCGCCGAAACAAGAACCCAGTGCGCATGCTCATAAATTGACTGACCGACTCGATCTAAGATGGCGGAATGTTTGAGCCGACTTGTATTCTATGGTATTCAGCTATCCTTTTGCTTCCTTCCAACTTTGAATAGTTTCATTTAGTATAGAACAAGTGCATTAGATCTTTTAGAGTTCTGTTACCGAGCAATTCAACGATCGAACGAAACAGCTGACAGACCTGAATAGCAGACTTAGGAGATAGTGTTGAATTTTTTTCTTAGATTACACAGCAACGAATCCTGTGATATGATCGGTTCTTAGCGCGGTCCGTATTTTCCTATCTCTGCCCACGGACACGGTAACGCTTTCGTGAGTCGCCGAGTGCCCAGGAGATTGTTGATGTGATAGGAAAGACAGAGTTAGATGCAACTGTGCCCAAGGTTGTCACAGAGCCACGCACCTCAGTGACATGTATGTAGCATGCATTTAAATTTTGGATAATTTGGGAATTTAATGGATATATTTTAATTTAATATTTTTACTTCTTATTTTTACACAGTCATTAAATAGTCATAGCCATTTGGGCTGGTTTTGAGTCCAATTGGTGATTGGAGCATTACCCCTTGCAGGGCTGTCAATAATTTTTCAAGTGGGTAGAGAAATGAAAAGAATAGCTGGGGTTTAAGAATCTGCTTGGGGAAGAAGTGGGAAGGGGTAGGAATGGAGATTAGGAAACAAAAACCTTAGATAAGCACAACAATACTTTGAAAAAGTGTTGACAATCAATCATAATTTTATTCTGACAAAATAGTTTCATTGTGGGATTCAGAACAATTACATCCACTTGCACAAAAAGAGCTTGCGTGACTTGTGACTGACAAGTGATGGCTTGACCCATGACTGTTTAGTAACAGTGTGATGAACAAGAGAACAATGGAAACAAATAAAATGAGCCAAAATCATGGTGCTGCAAACATTTTGGGATGCCACCCATCTCTGGCAGAAATTATCAGCTTGCTTGCTGTATGCCTTCTGGAAAAAGGTAAGGTGAGATTTTTTTTGGACATTGGTTTTATCTAGGAGATAGTGTAGCGTCTTGCAGTATTTTATGATGTAAATGCATGTTCAAACTTTTTAACAAATTTGTTTGAGTAAAGATTTGATTAATTTTATCCTGATAAAAGTTTTTTGGGTTGGGCCAGAGTATTGTGTACTGATGTCAGTTTGAAGGATGATTTGTGTGCACTTGTCTTTCCATCTGTGAAACTGACTCATCAATAACACACAAAATGTAACAAAAAGAAACGACCATATGCCTGAGAGTTGTCTCTGAATTTGGATTGGGGTCACGAATTTAGTTATTTTGCTATAATCAACTGGCATGATGTTATATTAATACTGAAGTACTAATTTCGAAAATTGGCCAATTTCTTAACGTTTGTGAAGTGGAAGATGTTAGGAAAATGCAGTTAGTCTGATAATCAGTGGACCAATAACAGTATAATTAAAGAATAATCATCCTCAGGCTCTGAGAATCTTATTGTATAATACCCATGATAAAGCAGAGGGTATTATTCAAGAATATTACCTTCACTTTTTTCCCATTAATTGTTAACTATTTGGTTTGTTGCAATGCGATTAAAAAACACCTCTTGTCCCTGTTTGGCTTTAAAAATATAACCCAAATTTTAAATTTAGCTGTAATTAAGTCATACAAGTACTTATATTACCATATTTGTCCTCGTATAGGTTGCAGAGAAATAGGATAAAAGTAAGGGGTGCAACTGAAATGCAGGTACAAGCATTTTGGCTCCAAACAATATACCTTGGAAAATATTTATTGTGGCTGTAAGTTTCCTATTTTTTTAACTGAGTGAAATAAAGGCATGTAGCAGTCTATTAATTTTCGGCTGATTACCTGCAGTTAGTCTGTTAATTTTTCCACAAACAGGGTAATACGATAATTTTTAAAGCTTCTGGTAAAGTTTTAAAACTATAAGTAGGCAAAAACAGATGATAAGATCCACTAAAGATACTCTTCAAAAAAATGTGTGCAATAACTCATTTATTTTGCACAGATTGCTCATTGTCATATAAGACTTTTATGCTCTTGATGAAAGCTGATGTGAATCAAAAACACATCTACAAAACTCAATAACAGAGCTTTTATCTTGTTTGTACTCTCCCTTTCTTACCTTGTCAATTTCTCAGCTTGTTTCTTTGTTTAGTTTAAAAAACAATTCTCACTTGAGAAATAAAAAATAAAAGAATTTAATTACAAAAAAGCAGGCTTCAGAGCAATTTACACGGAAAATGATGGGTTCACTTCCAAACATATTTGGTATAGTTCTCATGATGAACCTTCTTCGTGACTTGCTTAACTGTAGCTCTGTTACTTTCAGCAAACTTTGAGCAAAACTGACTAGCCTTGATGAGAGCCATTGAATTAGGTTTTCTGTTAAAGAGCCAATCAACATTGAAAAAGTAAATCTGACTGCTATGAAAGGATGGATCCAATATGGATACACTATCTTCTGCTGCATCCATGAAATGAGATGCTTGAAATTTGTCCATATTAAAATTAACTGCTTGTGCAGAGGTGTTCATAGAATTGAATAATGAATGCTCAATTACTCAACACATATACTGCTATTCAAATAACTTAACACTTAAGAGACATACTGAATCACTAATAAGCACAAAATGCCATTCAAAAGGTACAGAAAGAGAAAGTTGGCTCAACTTCATATTGCAGATATTTTGATGTTACAGTCAGGAAAACTTTTCTTACATTTGCCATCTGCTTAACAGTACATGTAAAAAACCAAGAATTTTTATTCTCAACTAGGTTGTAAAGTAATTGATCTATTGAACTTTTTTTACTGTGTAGAACAAGGATGACACCAAGCAACTCAGGAGGGACATTTCATTTGAATTAAAGATCCACATCAACAGTGGACATAAACCAGAGTTTGAACATCAAATGCACAATCACTTGCCAAATCAAGAGCAACACAAAGATCATATTATCGAAGAGGTTTGTTCTTTTTGATGAATATGTTTGTAAATTTTTATTTGTAACACACATGGCTTTTTGTAATGATGGCTGGCAAAAGGCCTTCACAAGTCACAACCATTAGTTATAGTCCCTGCTAGCAGTTTCATGTCATTACAGCCTGTGGTTTCTTAAGTTAAATGTGAATAACACAAGCATCAAGCAAAATCTAGTTGTGGGGATCTGAATTGGGTTTCAACCTATAATGCTTTGTTTTCAGCAAACCTACTAATGGTGACAAGATTGTTGACATATTGACCTTTTTAGCACTCTATTCCTTCAATTTTATCTCTTTTGCCCATGTTAGTTGACCTATTCACTCCTACTCCCCAAAATAATGTTGTGTAGTGTTTCCATGAACCTTTAGCTACAAGTTGTTGTTGTGTCAAGTACTACATAAAATCACAGACAATATACAAGACTTGTTAGTAGTGAGAGGTACAAACTGAGTTTCTTTGCACAACTTAATTTTTTAAATGTCCTAATCACTGGACCTCCTAAAAAATAATACTTTAGTCTTTATATTTTTGGTGCAAAATACAAGTCCTTCTTTATGTACAAGTAAGTAAGTAAGTAAGTGAATAAGTATCTTTATTTGAGGGTCAAATACATCCAGCATCATAATGACGCTAATTGGGGACACTATATTAAGAAGCAAATTTAAAAAGAAAGGATAAACATTAAAATACAATTCTAAAAATGCAGAAAATATATGCTAGAAAAAATTAATTTTAAAAAAAATGTGTCGTAAGGATACTTTAACCATATAGTAAAATGTGAATGAAATATTAGCTGTTACATAGAATACACAAGTTACAGCCACAAGATTCTAAAATTATTATGTCCATCTCACGAATTTTTCTTTTAAAAATAGCTAAAGATGATGATTCCCTAGTTTTCTTAGATAATTTCGCCCATAGATGTGGTCCCAGGTACCTAATTGAATGTTTTCCAAACCTAACTGTTCTAAAACTTGGCAAGTTAAAGTCAGAGTTTCTCGAATTATACTTCTTATTACTCAGGCTAAACAGTTCACAAAGGTAGTTAGGTGCCATACTATGTTTCACATTATACATCAGTATTAGTATATCCTGTAGTCTTCTGTTGTTTAGAGATGGTCGGTTTGCCTTAACTAATAGCTGCTCATACGTGGATGTTTTGTTGAGGATGACAGTCGCTAGGGCTTTCTCCCCCTTATGTTCCAGTTTTCTTTGTTGGATGCCCTTGCAAAGTGCCAGATTTTCTGACAATGTGTTAAGTGTGGTAATATTGAAGACCTATAGATACTAATTTGGATCATTCAGGTACTAATTTCTTCATCTGCATTAATCAAATGAAAAGTGCAAGTCACACTTCAATAATAACAGCTCTAAAGTTTTCTTGTTGTTCTTCTCTGAGTCAGCTACCAACAAAATTGTGTTGTACTCTGTAGGTCTGGTATAAAATTTTACTTGTGGTATAAAATGACAACCTTGTATCTTCCATCTCTATACCCCTTTCCAAGCTTGGGAATGCTTTGGACTGTGCATAACCATTTGTAGATGAGAATTCCAATGCACTTCTGTAATTTCATATAGTTGCTTTCGCCTCATGCAAATGTTTCTCTGTTTCTCAACTCTCTTGGCACCACTGCTAGTTCAGTGGAAAGACAGACTGAGGAAGCGAGATGGCTAGCTGTGTCGGAATGTGTTACTGAATGCTTGTTACAGTCAAGCTTTTTTGATTTGGGTACTGGTAGACTGGGATCACCAAGGTATCTCTTATACTTCCTAATGTGGTATCCTTTTGTTATAAAAATGCAGGTAAAACACAATTGTAATCACATTCAAAATTGTGATTGGCTTGTGTTATTTCCCACCTTTTCCATGAACATAACTCAAGGGGGTTAAGAGTCTTTGTTTCCTTGACAACTTTCAGCCACAAATCGTGCATTTTTGTTCAATTCTTATCGATTATTTCTACATAGAGTGAATTCACATCATTATTTATATCGTCATCAGAACATGGATCCAAGATATCCATTGTCCAAGAGCAGAGAACCGGCCAGAGAAGTCAGAAGAGTTTTGTGCACTTCTCTTGAGACTGCAATTGGGCAAGTCAGCAGATTCTCTTTGCTAACAAATGACAATTCCCAAAAGATCCATGTGATCATGCCCATGATTGGAAACAAAGAAAACTCCATTTGGCGCTCATCTTTGAATGTACTTTTCATCAGTTGATCAAGCGTGCATCAAATTATTTCTTTTTTCAACTGTTTTGCTTAATATAACATTTCTAAAGATGGGTTCTATTGTGGTTCAGTGGAAAAATGAGAACAGCATGAGTGGTGTAAATGAAAAGAAAGTCATTGGAGTTAGAAGAAGGGACAACAGTTGACAAATATACTGGTACAAATAAATAATGGTTGATTGGCCATTCTACTGGTACAAATAAACAATGGTCAATTGGCCATTTATAAAGCAAGGATTTTGAAAGTTTGTGGCCAGTACAAATTGTGATATTTGTTGTGGGATCAAAATCTTACCAAAGAATAGATTTAACAGCTTGAATTAAGCTTACTTAATGCTCGGCGCAACTGAAACTCAAATAATTCTGAGAATTGAATCATTTGACAAAGAATATCACAAACATGAATTATTGAGGTCTGTCTTCTATTCTTTGGTATACTGCAGCCAATTTTTTTAAATGTTGAGCCATATTGCACTGGAAATGGTCTGCATAAATTGTGTAGAAAAAGTAATACGCTGAGTTGCGCTGTTATTCTTTTAAAATGTTTGGCTAAGCTATTTGTTAATGAAACAACATCAAACACATGCTGGTTCATTGCAAATAAATTATGAGATCTTTGTCACATGTAGTCTGTGTATTCATGTACTGTTTGAATCATGTATGATCAACAGCTTGGGTAAGATAATGGGATCCCAGTGGAGGTGTCAATATGTTCTATAGCTAGTTGGAAGGTTTTGGACCCTCAGTGGATTGATGGGGTCTACAGCTTGTCTAGAAAATTTTATCCTCTTAATTTGAAGGACTAGGTTACAAAAGGGATTGATAAGATATCCCATCTTGTACATTTCATAAATCTGTGGTCTCCAGTGTTAGGCAGGATCACTTTAAGGATTTTTGTTAAAATCCCAAGTAAGAAGCTGTCTGAAATTTTAAGCATGGTCCAAACTGGGATTGGCAGGATCCCAGGTGTGATCCTGCCCAGGATATGATTTTCCAGGTGGGATGCTATCAGAAATTTAAGGCGGGATTCCAACTTCTTGGATCCCAGTTGGGATTGGCAGGATGCCTTATTTTTTTTATACTAACCCTAAGACTTATTCTAAAATGAACTCTCACAAGTTCTAATTAAACAAATGATCAAAACCAGGAACACCATTTTTTACCTAATTTGAAAGCATTTATATTTGTGCATAAACAAAAACAGTTAAAACCCATAAAAAGAGCTGACTGGCTTGCTGTAGAGTCATTTAATTTTTAGTGTTTTTCATGGCCTCCACCATTGTACCCTTAAACTGCAATATCATTTTAATTTGCTCCATTTGAGATTTCTGCATCCCCTCCAACACATTCATCAATTTATCCCCTTGCTCTTTACTCCCTCCAGAGTTGATGCTATTGCACTATCCTCATGTTTGGCTGCTGTATTTTGCCTTTTCTTGTGCTGCCTTTGTTCCTTTTGGACATTGTCCAGTGTTTTCTCATGATTGGCAACATCACTACTTGTGGCAGATCCTTTTGGAGATGATGAAGTGCTGGTACTTGTACTTGTTTTAGCCAAGGCAGTGAAAGTGTTGGCTGGGAAAGCCACTGCATTCTCCTCTACATTTGTAAATGTTACAAAATAGTGACACCTGAGAACCTTGTTGATCTTATTGTAAAAAGGAGACTCATGATTTCCAACTCTTTGGTTCTGATTCCAGTCTTTCTTTTCCATGTATTTGTTGATGAATTATTTTATCTTGAGCATACACTTATCTACTTTATGATTTGACTTAAATATCACATTCAAATCATCCACAATTGTAGGCCTCCAAAGCTAGTTGTTAGCATCTTTGAAGTTTGGTGGCACTTGCGAAAATTTTGATGGGTCAAACAAATCATTTGCACTGAAAATGGTTTTGCATTTGCATATTGTTTGCAAAACAAACAAAATTTTACGCAATATGAACAGGCCCTTATGCCTCTTTTTGACACAAGACTGATGAGACGGTGTCATGTCAACTAAAGCCTTTGTTAGTTTACACTGTACTTTGCTAATTGACAAATTGATTATTGAGTACTGTTCTATTAATAACTTTTCCCATATGTCATAGAACAACCTTCATCGGCCAGGTTTTTTTTTACTTTGGAATGGACATTTGTGTGTAGGGGTTGCACAATCCAATTTACATTACATGTAACCTACAACATCGCATGTTACTGTGGTTTTCAATATTCTCACTTCATTCAATCAAATTATTGCAATTTATCCACATTGTGATTTTCTATTTAAATTAATAAGAAGCGTTGTCAACAGGATAAAAGGAATCAAATTACCATGGAATGCTTAGTGGATATATGTTTCTTTACATTTTTATCTGTCGTTTGATTATGCTGTGATCGCATAAAACTGTTAGCACTTGTAATCTCAAAGTTCATTATTTTCTAACATTTAGTTTTGTAGACATAATTATAAATGAATAAAGGGGTAAGTTTCTAAAGAAACTGTGGTGCTGCGTCGGTGGGAGAGTATAGCAGGTAATTTAGTGTTAACAACTGGGTTGAAAATGTAAATTAACCACCGTAAAAGGTAAAAAAGCTGACGTTTCGAGTGTTAGCCCTTCGTCAGAGCAATTGACGAAGGGCTAACGCTCGAAACATCAGCTTTTTTACCTTTTACGGTGGCTAATTTATGTTTTCAACCCAGTTGTTAACACTAAATTACCTGCTATAATTATAAATGCAACACATGTTATTCAATATCATCAAAACTTAGACAAGGCGTGGCTAATGCTTGAGTTTTGTGTGATATGAAAATATTCAGATGTTATTATATGACGAAAAAAGTGGATTATAGTAGATTACCTCTAATGTACAAAATATCTGCAGTAGCAGCTCCTTTTGATTCTTGAGTTCTTTGTGACAACTTCTGATTTAAAGAGACACCATCAATCAGAATGTATTTATTTCAGTTAAGAAATAACATGACATTCACAGTGATTTTTTTGTTCCTGTTATTTTTAGTGAGTTACTATAACATTTGCACACATTCAAAGAAAAGTGAACAAGTTAGAGTTAAGGTACATTTAAAGTGCTCTGAATATTTCCTCTCATAGGCATTGAAAATATACAGAAAATGAACTATCTTACTGTACATTTTTGCTTGCCTTGTCACTTTTTAGTACTTGCAGTTCCCCTAACCCCTAAAAGTGCCGAGCATCTACATTAAGCTCAAGCAGTTTACACTACTTCCATGCCACTTCAACAGATTCTTGTTGGCGTTGATGTGCCTCCTGACTGTTTCCTTTCAGCATAATAACTTGCTTTTAGCCATTTCTCTTTAAGATTTCTTACTGTTTGAATGGTAAGGTCCAATGGGGATGGGAAATTTGTCCTCATTAGCATACGGCATATGTTTCACATGGTCCCACTTGTCTTCCGTTGTTGACATCTCAAACACTTCTTGCAATACCAAATTCATATTGTAAACATACAATATATGGTACCAGACAATTTTATTATATGAAAATATATGTTTTGGGATAGCTAAATTCATTGGCAATGAGTACTTGATGAAATCCTTACCAGGGTATGCCAAAGCCCAGGAATTTCATGAGATGATAAATTTATATATATTTATATAGCTTTTAAAAATATGCACATACTGGTATTCAAAAGTGCTTTGCATTACATCAAGTATTATAAACTAATACTGAATCCTTTCCTAAAAAAATATGCTCAGAGATATTTCTGAAAAGTAGCTAGGCTGCTATAGGATCTGATTGGTAATGGCTTTTACCCAACAAAAGAAAAATACATGCATAAAGAAAAGTCAAATGATATAAAAATGCAAAGTTGGTAATATTTTATTTTAGGTTACTTTTTTATGTTAGTTTTGTTGGAAACAATGTATCTGGTAATTGACATCAGGGAAGTTAGATGAACATTTTGCAGTATGTAGACACAGCAGTTACATAGATGTGTAAATCAATATGAATATTCGGGCTTCTCCAGGGTTTTCAAAATGAAAAAAAGTATCAGGAGGAAATTTTAAAGTAGCTGGAGCACCACTGCGCCGCAACAGCGGCGCCGGGCGGCAAAGCCGCCCGTGGGGAGGGTGCGGGAGGGGGTTTCCCCCTCCTGCAGGGGGGGTATGGGGGGCCTCCCCCAGAAAATTTTGAAAATCTGCATGCTCTGAGGTGCATTCTGGTGCATTTTCAGGACCAAAAAGTTATTTTTTAGGTCGTTGTACACTTTATTATAACCTAGAGTTTTTCTTAAATCTGACTCATTATCAAGAGTTTCTTGAAAATTATGTTTACTCATACATATTACAATGCTTTCCTTCCAGTCCCATGTTACATATTACAATTTACATCTAAATAAAAAATTGACCTCTTTCCCTTGTCAGTACTTCATTGACCTGTTATAACATGAATCAACTTTTGAAATAATTATTTTTGCAGTCAGAGTTTTCCTACAGATTGAAAATACAGATGAACAGTTTCGTTATGGCATCCAAGCACTCAGGCTCGATTCTTTTTAGTTAAAAGTCACTGTCACTGAAATCACTTTCCCCCATTGCACTGTCCCTGTCACTGTCGTCACAACTTGGATCATCTTGAAAATTTGCTAAGCCAAGTTTAATGAGGGCCTGCTCTTCCTCTTGCAACGCTTGTTGTTCTTCTTGACTCTGACGATCTTCAACTTGTGGGTCCGTCTGTGTTGATACACTTGTTAATTCTGGTGGTGCAGGTTCTTTGCCCTTGCTTTCTCTTGAGGCTGACTTCCCTTTGGCCAAATTGTAGCGTTTTCCAGAGAGCCATTTCTCAGTGGTCTTCTTCACCAGGGTGTCACATTCTGAAGAATTTGCCTCTGGACCATTCATAGAGATATTAACAAGGGCCTCCAGCATCTCATTGGTCAGCCTGCTCCTGAGCCTTGACTTTATAAGCTTAACTCGACTGACTCCCCTTTCAGGCCATGCGTTGCTTATGGGCATCGTGAGAGCTATTTCTACAATGTGCATGAGGAGAGGGAGAAGAGAAAGGAAAGAAGATCTTTGTTTCATTAGCTGGGACATGCACCACTCTGCTGGCATGGTAGTCTTGCCTTCTTTTACATCAGCTGGAATGGCCATCTCCTTCATGTGGTACTTTAATATATTCCACTCTGCCAAAAGTCGGTCTTGTTGGTCGGGGAAGTAGTGCTTGGCAAGAACTTGGATAGAATCTACTCCGTAAGAGGGAAGTTCTGAAGAGCTTGCAGGAATAAGAGTTGGATCAAAGATGGAGAGCGCTCCCAGAAGAGGGAGGGTGTTCTGAAACCTCAGGTCGATGTTTTCCTTCAAAGCAGAGACATACTTGAGCAACAAATTTCGCATGGATGCAAGCTGATGCTCAGAAGGGGAAAACTGCAGCAGCACCATCTTTCCTTCCTTGATATCTTGGCAAAATTGCTTGATGGGGACTTCTTTGGTTGCCACTTCATCCAGCGCTGCCTTAGCACGAACAATTTCTGGTTTAAGGTGACTGAAATTGACAGTAGAATGCTGAAACGATTTTGACAGGTTGTCAAGAACAGGAAGCACATGCTTTAAAAACATACAAGCAAGCCAGGAAGCGGACGTTGTTCATTTGAACTAACAGGCCCTGGCATGTGGGGTCCCTCATCTTTCATCCTGATAAGGAACTGGATGATGGCAGAGAAGCTCTCCCAAGCGGATTGAACGGCAGCGTGAAATGACAGCCATCGTGTCTGACAGGCCTTCTTCAGCTTCTTAGCTATCTTCTTCTGCGAATTCTTGTTTGAGAGAGTTATTTCACTCACCTCAAGTTGAACTTTCAGGAAAATGGCTGTCTTCTTGTTCGAGTTGTCAAGGAGTTGCCAAAGGGTGTTTAGTGTGTTCTGCATCTTCTTTATTGTGGCAAGATCGTTTAAAGTGTCGGTACACGCCAGCGCTAGTTTGTGACAAACACAGTGGACAGATATTAACGACTGGATTCTTTCATCTGCTTTCAGCCTGGTAGCTACACCTGACCTTTCTCCCACCATGACACTTGCTCCATCTGACACAAAGCTTTTAAACCAGTCAAAATTGAGACTGTGTTTCTCAATGACTTCCAGAAGGATGCTTGTGATGGTTAAAGAATCTGCTGCGTCAGAGCTGGCGAGAACATTTTCCAAACACAAAAATTTCACCTCAACCTTTTCGCTACCCCTGTTATAATACTGGATGAAACCAATCATTTGCTCCAAATTTGCAATGTCAGTCATGTCATCAACCATCACCCCAAATGGCCCAGTTACAGCAGAAATGACTTCATTTTGAATCATTTCACCAAGAAGAAGCAACATGTTGCGAAAGGAACCTACTGATGTGTGATTAAAGCCACTCATATCACACCCCAGCTTCGCAACCAACTTTAACAGACTCTTAACCTTGACATTTGCTATATCCTCCTTTGCCAACCAGTAAAGGCAATAGAAAACTCTTTCATACACATCAACCTGAACTTCAGCATTATGATCGAGCTCTTTCTGGAAAACTGAGAACCTGTTCATAAGAATGGCAGTGATTGCATCTTTGTGTCTCTTTGTTGCAATGTGCTCCTCGAGGCAATCTTTCTTTAACCTTGTGCTTGGTTCTGCAGAAAAAAATTCCTTTTTGTTTTGGGGATTCTTGGAATCAAACTTCTTGCAGATCAGACAGTATTGACCTTCTCCTTCGATGTAAACGAGCCACCACATCTGTACTTTAGGGCTATAGGCCAAATCCTTATTAAAGATAAGGCTGTGATTAAACATCTGCTTCTTTTTGGTTGTTTTGATGCGTGCTCTTTCTTCTTGAGACACACCCAAGCAGTCACGCTTTTTGCAGAGAATGTAGTGATGAATTTTCTTCGTCTGCTGTTCTTCAGTGAAACTGTTCGTGATATCACTCTCTGACTGTATACACACAGTATCTGTGGGAGGAAAATACATGTAAGATTCTTTACCTTTTTCTTCAGTGTGTGATGCAAACCACCAACTAGAGAAGGCTACTCTCAAAAAAAGAAAGAAATATCACGAATTGTAATAAAAAGTTCGTTTACCTTCAGCGTGGTTGGTAGGGGCTGCGGTCACAGAGATTTCTTGGCAGTCGCGTAACACATTGACGGGCAAACTTTCGGCATCTTCGAAGTTTAAGGACGTACTAGGCGTTGCAGAAGACCCTTCCGTGTCTGGTGCATCTAACGAAAGCAGTGAGAATATGTATCGATGTTGACAATGTGTACCATTTATCCCCCATGACCAACGCGTTAAATAAACCAAGCATAGTTATTTCGCGCTCACGTATATGACCTCACGTATACAAAATTTGAGTTAAAGGCGGAGATTAAATTTATTTTTTAGCGCGACATACAAGCTCCATAAATAATGCATTGTTAGCCAAAATTTCAATCGATTAGATAAATCAATTTTATTCCGCGGGCACAACTGTTTTAACTGTTTTTTTAGTTATCAGAAGAACAATGCTTTGCTAAACAATCAATTTCAGTAAAACTCATATATGTTAAGCGGGCCGTAACATGTGGCGCGACTTATGTCGCGACTAGTCTGGCTGTGTCGGCTTCGTATAAAATTAATTTTCCATAAAGAACTGTAAAACATTCAGTTTCACCCGCTTTACTGATTATGAAGACTTGAAATGAAACTTTAAGTCTCACAAAAATCTTAAAAATGCCTGGCTTATATAAAAAGTTAAATGTGACCAAATTTGTGTCGGCATAAAATTTATTTAATCGCCAGAGTCTGCCAGTTCATTCTCGAAACGGCGCCTCACGAAACCAAGCGTTGAATAAATAAAAGCATCCCTTATAAATCGCCTTGTTGACAATAAATAATTCAACCTAAGCGATACAATATTGTTTTCAAGCAATGTTTCATTCATAACATGCACCAATACTTATTTTCTGATGGACTGGGGGATTGTAAACAGGAACCCGGCGAACATTTGCATTTTAAAAAGTGTTTCATACCTGCAATCTCCTTTCTTTGCTGTTTGAACCCAAACTGGGTTAAAAGCGGCTGTGATTTCTGCCTTTTCATCCGGTGACTGGGACCGTTTTCTTAAAGAAAGCGCCAAGTACAAAGCTCTCACGAATTCACAAACAGATTCAAACACGCGATGTGGAGAAGAAGACGATTTCATAATTCGCTTACGCAAGAAAAAACTAGTCACGAAATAGCAGGATCAAATGTCGGTCTTTCGTGGGAAAACGCAAATGGTTTCCAGTCCAAGTTGAATGCTGTTGAATAAAAGAGTTACGATTTCTGATGCTGGAATGCGATCAGTGGGCAAGAACAAAATATGTTATCCTTAACTTTAACCCATAGGAATCGGAACTTTATGTTTTTTTAATTTTTTTTTTTAATTTTGACTTCCAAAAGTACCCGGCGCTAACGCTCGAAGTAGCCGGTGACTTGCGTCGGGCGCCGGTTACTTTTGAAAACACTGCTTCTCATCCCAGAATACTCTTAGTCAACACAAGCAGGGGAAAATGGTATCAAACACTGGCCTGATCAGCCATATTTCTGGTAAACAGACATACTTTTACCTGTACCACTGTAATGTTCATGTGTTGGGAACCACATGGCATAGTCCTCAGTTGCAACTGTTAAAGGTGGTGAAACATTAAACATTAGAAAGAAGCATGAAAGTTCATTTTCTTTCAAATTGTCTGCCCACCATAGGTCCAAACATGAAGTTAAATTGCACTTCCTTAAATACACTAAGAGCTGTCCATGAGAATTCCTTTGAAGCAAAGGGTTGTTCATAAAGTTCGTCAATTATTCCAAACTTCTCCTTTCCTGATTCACAGCCAGCAAATAAACAATAATTGCTCTTCATTTTTGTTGTTGGTTGAACACATACAGGCACTCATGGGAGAGTTCTGCTTTGCTTCAGTGCTGTGTTGTGAAAACATCGCAGTTATAGTTTGAAGGCCTGCATGGAGAGCCATGAAACCTCTTCATAGTGTGGTTCCAACTGACCTCCTTGAGGTCTCTATTATTAAATGGATTGATAAACATATACAGTTTATTTCATGATGACAAAAAACACATGCAAGGAAAGTTTAACATTTTGACAAATTTGATTCTATTGACGACCTTTACCGCTTAAATGTGAATTTATTTTAGATACTAATTTATTAGTAGCATTTATCCAGGTTGAACAAGCTGGATTGATTGGAAGCCTGCAGAGAACTATTTAAATACCAAAATATGTTTAGCAATGTAAAGTGTTAAAAGTTTAGCAGCAAGCTTAAATTAAATGGGAGCTTGTTAAAATAGTATAAGTGTAACAAAGTACATGTAGAAATATAAAATGAAAAATGAGCCCTCAAAAAAAAATTAAAAGATGTACATACATTGTATAATACATTACAGTGCATATTACATTAATTACAAATAAATTAAAATTTAAAAAATAAGAATAAAAGCATTACAACTAAGCAAATTGCATTATTATCTGCAAAAGCTGGAATCCCCTTACAGCAATACCTATGGTACCTACAGCCTTGGGTGAGGAGCAACGTTTACCTTGGTCTGGGATGGACCTTTGTAATGTTATACAAAATAAACTTGTGGATGAGAAGGATAGGGTCTGTATTGTTGGACTTTATCTTGATGACACTGAGCCAAAACTGGGGTACACATGTTGAACTAGTGGCAAAGATTAGGAAGGGCTCAAACTCATTGTTAATTAGTTTGAAAATGTGGTTTCTTGATTTTTTCATTAATCTTTTCTAGAAAGAAAATAAAAATCAAGGAAGCAGTTCTTACAATGCTCACAGTCAATTTCATGGGAAGCCAACAGTCTAGAATGACACTAGCTACTTCTTCATTGAAGTCATGATCAGGATTGGTGACATTTTCAGAAACTTAAGAAGTAAATGAGCAATGAAATCATTAGAACTTATTTAAAACCCTAAACAGCAGTGTCAGGTAAAATGACTTGTTTTGGTTACAGATTTACAGTGAAATACACAATGCATTAAGACAAACTATTATATCTCAAAAAGCTGGAATCCATCTGACAGCAAAACCTATGGAAATTAAAGAAGACTAGAAAGCCTTTTCCATTGATTGCGGGATAGCCATGAGTGAAGTAAAATATTGTTGAACTTTATGTTGATGACACCAAGCCCAATATGAGGTAGGCATGGTGAACTTGTGGCAAAGACTAAGAAGGACTCCACCTCATTGAGGTTCTCTCTCTGAGAGAACGTGAGAAAATATTATTTGAAGATGATTTCTGCTGGTCCCAAATTCAGTGGGAACTGTAGAAAACCCTGGATGTCATCTATAGTCACTCCACTGCCGCCTGCAATTGCACTTTGATTTCAGGGTCAGGTTTCTTATCACTCTCATCTTGTTGTTATTTTGGCCAAAAAAACTACAGATCATAACTAAAGAAACAAGTAATTGATTGTGTATCTGTAATCGTTCTAAGAGGTTTCTTTTTTAGGGTTTGGAGTCTTGATTTGTTCAGGGAAACAATCCTCACAATCCTTGCTGTCTATTTCATGCTCCAAATATTTGGATGGCACTGGTTTGGGGTCCAGAAGTGTGTCAGCAAAATTTTCATGATTTTACTGGCAATTTGAAATTAGATGAAATTTCAATGTCTTGAATCTTAAAAACTGCTCTTCTTTCCTCTTGTTGCAATCTGCTTGTTGTCTTTTTCTCATTCAATTGCATTAAATTTCTCCACATCTACCCTCAGTGAATGGATAAGCTGTGTTTCCTGATCTGTTAAATTGCCAGGAAGTACCATGTTCTCAATGCTACTGAAGGGGAAGTGAGTATAGATCAAGCCTTGATTATTCATCACTTGTAGTCAGGGGATACATTAAATGGATGTAGTGGCTTTGAAATTGAGCTTAGTTATTGCCACTTGGTAGCATGAAATTGCGATCTGACATGGTCCAAATCTGGTGTCTCTGATGTCTGCACTCCCTGTTTGGGCACATGTCATGTGTGAGAGACCCATATTGGGAACTTCTGCATTCTTGTCTTGCGTAGTTCTCACTCTTGCATCATACAAGAGGCACCTCACAACAGATCCTGACTTCAAATCATTTTTTGTTTTGGTCACTTCAACCTCCATCATTGGCTGTGGGGCAATATTTAAACTCCCACCTTTCTTACTCCATTGCTGCAATTGAGATGTGCATGTGAATCTTCTTCTTCTAACAGATCTTTTGTGGAGGCATCGTTAAGTAAGGAAAACTTGCGTAACTTGAACATGAGGGCCAATGCATGATTGCAGAATCCCACCTTGCCTGCTATGCAAAAACAGCAAGCACTGACGTGATGTTCACCAATGCTTCTGTTTGATGTTCACCAATGTTCACCAGTGTTTGTTTTACTAAATATTGTTTACTTTTCTGTATGTTTAACTTCTAATAAGTTGTATTGGATTGAGGGCCAACTCGCCGACGTCTCTATTCGATTTTATATGTCGGCGAGTTGGCATCGGCGAGTTGACTGGATACCCCTTTAAGGTTACAGAGAATTTCCACAATAATCTTTTAAATCTAGTTACATTGATATCTTAACTGAGCAATAGCATTTACTTATTCTATTATTACTATTCTTATATATTTTGTCTGACAGTATAAAAGTTATGTTTAACTGATATAATTTGCTAAAAAGTTGGCTAAACCAAGTTTATAAGCTAGTGGCTTAGAGTTATATTGCTCAGAAGGTGGCAAGGTATGGCAACAAAAATTGTGTAGCACCAAGGGAAGTAGTGCTTGCACAGATTTTTCAATGATGGCAAAAACTAACTAAACCATTATAGTGTAGTCAATTGTTCTTACAGTATTTAAGATGACATTAGAATTGATGATTACTTGCACTTCTGTAATGCATCTGATCTTGTCTAAATTTTTTTCTGTGAGGCTGTTCACCATACCAACTATTCTGTGAAAAAAAGTCAAGCATGGGTCATGGATTATGTATTTCTTTTCACAGGCTGAGCTTGTGGCAGTGGTTCATATGGCCTTCCTTTTTCTAGTAAACCTAGTGTTTGTTAGTTTTCTGTGTTGCTTTCTCTTTCTATTGTGAAGAAAACATTTGAAAAATCAAATGTGATTAAATTGAAGGATGAATAGCCACATCCACCCAGCAACATGTTTGTAGACTGCTACATGTATGTAACAGACTGCATCATGGGGTAACTAGCGTCGCACACATACTTCAGTTCGGAGACATTCTTGATGTTGAAGGTATTTATATTTTAAACTAGCTAGCCTGTGTAATGGTTCATTTTTGGTACTTCCCTTGATTGCCTTGTAGTCTGATATGTTAAATTTGTAACTGTGGTTGTTTGAACATGTTTTAAAATCAGCAGCTCAAGCCTCTCTTGACAAATCTATACATCTAATCTCTTAAAGTATTGACTTTGTGTTACTGCTGTTAAAGAAATTTCGGTTATTTCTCTAGTGATATATGTTAGATAAAGTTAGCAGTTAAGAAGACAAAACTTTGATTAATAAATCAACTTTAATTAATTTATTAATTAACTAAAGTGAAAGTAGCCAATAAGTAATACTTTGAATGGCTTCTGCTTCTCATCTCTTCCCTTTTAGTTATTGTGAAATTTGATAGTCACAATGGTGGTCTTAGTGTTCCTGTATGGCTGCTGTATTGTTTTAACGCTTTGAGGGCTTTTTTAATCTTTCAAAATTGTAAGGAATGGTGAACAAAAAAATTAAACTCAATTTTGGTGGTTATTTCTCTACTCCTACAGTTACAAAAACTGATATCCTTAGAGGCCCATATATATATATCAGGGGTTTAATGAAAGAATATTCATGTGACTATCGTTTATATACTAGGAAAATTTACATAATACGCGGTAAACTTAAAAACTTTAAAGTTCAGCTGTTGCGTAGCAATGCTTTGTTTCTGTGTCGGCATGAAGATACGAGTTCATTATGCTTATTAAGTGATGAGAGGTCGGGTCGGTAAATTATCAGGAATTTTTCTTTTAGGCAGAGGTTGCATCTTTTACTGGAGCTGTTGTAGGGAGAGTTAGA